TTAAGTGACTAGCTGAGGGTCTCTATTAATCATATAAGCTAGGCTTTGAGCACAGCAGTCTAGCTCCAGAGATCAATGTTGTGCTAGCTGCCTCACCTAGCTTTTCATTGTTATTTTCTCTTGCTAACCTTTGTGTTGTGGGAGCTCTGATAGCGTAGTGCCTAAGGCACTTGACTGCTAACCAGAAGGCTGACGGTCAAACCCACTAGCCACTCCTAGGAAGGAAGATGGGACAATCTACTATCTGTAGTGATACTGCCTCGGAAACCCAAGGAGGGGTTGCTATGAGTCGGGTCTGACTCCACGACACATAACAACAACACAACAACAACCACCACCTTTGTGTGGAGACCCTGGGTGGAACACATGGTGAGTGCACTTGACTACTAGCTGAAAGTTGGTGGTTTGATTTTGGAAGAAAGGTTTGGCTATCTGCTTCCAAAAAATCAGCCACTGACGGAGTGTAGTTCTATTCTGATACACGTGGCATCTCCATGAGTTGGATTCAATTAGATGGTAACTGGTTTGTAACCTCTGTGTTCTTGAATGGATGGAAAACAGATGAGACACGCTGCTCCACACTTAACAGTGCAGAAAGGCTAGCAGTGAATAGATTACACAATGACACATTTGGCTCAGAAAAGTGAAACAGAAGTAATGTGTGATGGAGAATTCTGAGAAATTTCAGGGCCATTTTTCATATTGAGGGTGAGTAAAATGTTGTAAGCAGTAACATCAGAACCTGTCTAAATCCATGCGGGATCATGAAAATCAAGATCAGCCCAAAGCTGATCCCTGTGAGATGGTGATCAGACATACCTCATTCTCCAACTGTTTTACCAATTCTGACACCAGCCATTCCCCCCCACCTCACCCAAGCACTCTCTACTTCTCCTCTGCATTGATAATCCATTTCAATGACCACACAGAACTCACAAACTACTTACAGTTAAGTGGCTTATTGAGAAGATAACAAAGTACAACTTAGCATTAGGAACAGGAGGCATGGAGGCAAAGTCTGGAAGGCTCCCCCAAGGACAGCACATTCCTCCCTTCTTCAGTGCAGGACAGCTCCCTTAGCTTCTCTCATGACTATAAAAGCAAGCAGGCCCTTCTCTCTGCTACACCCCCCCCCCCCCTCAGTTGTGCAGGCCTCTTCTCTGCCCCCTGATGACTGGCTCCTCTCTGACCATCTCAGGGCAGTCTCCTCTTGGCCCTGCCATTTGTCACCACCAACTCTGCTGCAGGGACCTTTCTGGGCCTGTTGCTGTCTTCAGTGTTACAGACCTTGACCCATGTTACAGCTCTTTTAGGAGGTTCCTTGCCTCCACTGTCTCTGCTGCTTCTTTCTTCTCTCTCCTTTCTTCCTTCTGCTTGTCTGCTTCCTGTCTGGAAAATCTCAGTTTCAAGGCATACCCTCCTACCTGGCCCACAAACTGACCAGCCCCGCTTGGTAGGCCACAGGTACTTCATTTGCATAGTAGGCTATAGTAAGTTCTCGTGCATATATTGTATGCACAATTCAGTTGCATATATTGTATATTGACTGATCCCTGCAAGTGCATGAAAACCACAAATCGGGGTATAGCCCAGGGCAGGATGCAAAGACCAGTGGTTTACAACTTCCTCAGGAAATGTCAAACAACCTGGAAAAAAGTAAAAAACCCCTTGGAGGAGAAAACTAGAGCAAAGGTAACTCCTCAGGGTTTAGGGAAAAAAAAATCTCTTAAGCTGTTTATCCAAAGAACCAAGGCAAAAAGACACATAAAGGAACCATTTTACAATAGGGTAGCAAGCCTGCTGTGGACTTGGATGGCCCTTGGTTTGGTTCCCTGGGTTGTTCGTATCTGTAAATGTGGAGAACTGAGATCATGGAGCTTTGATGTTTATTTGTATTTGTCTATGCTTTTTGCTAGGTTAGTTGTTGGGGTTGCTAATAGCATACTTTTTAGAATAAGACTCTTTAAATCCTTGCAATGTTATGACATCATTGATGACAAACATTCCCGTTGTTCACTTCTCATGTTTCATAGACACTATTTTTGCTTCTTTATTTTGATCTTAACTTAAGAGTATAGTCTCTATGTCTGGGATAGCTGCTGGTCTAGAAGTAATCTGACAAAGTAAGAGGCCTGGAAATATGTAGCCAATTGTGAAAAATTACGTTTTTACTTTTATATTTGTGATTTCTAGCTCTAGTGATTAGGAGCTCTGGTAGCATAGTGCCTAAGACACTTGACTTCTAATCAGAAGGGTGACAGTTCAAACCCACCAGCCACTCCTTAGAAGGAAGGTTGGGCAATCTACTTCCGTAGAGATACTGCCTCAGAAAACCCAAGGAGGGGTTGCTATGAGTTGGGTGTGACTCAACAGTACATATATAACAACAGCAGCTCTAGTGATTCTACATAGTTTGAGAAAATTTATAAAAGTCTCAAAATAAATTTGTTTTATTTTAAAATTATCAGTTAGCTCTTCTAAGATTGACCAACATCAGTGAACAACTGCTAATAGCTCTACCATAATTGGGAATAGTTATACTTAACCTGTTAGTGCCTGCTGCTATCATGTCATTGTGTATAATAGAAGCAGTATAAAAGCACCATCTGTGCCCTTGGACTGCAGTTTTTCCATTTTTCTTCACAGGATGGAGTTCCATTGTATTAGGATTTTTAGATGATTTCTACAATGTTACATTTAACTAGGACCTTGGTGTAATTTTTTAATGGATTTTTATTTTTAAAAATTGTTATAGTATTAAAGTATAACTTATAGCATTGTCAGTGATGTTATTGTTATTTTTATGTAGGTGGTTCTTAAAAAAAATCGTTGAAAATGTATTTATCAACAAATATGACCTTATCCCAGAGTACTGTTATAAAATCTAAGAGTTTCTTTTACACCTTCTATATTGGGTACTCTGTCCATGAGTATTCTAGCTAAGAATATGGTGAAGAATGATTCTGCATGTAGCTCATGGAACATCTGAGACACTCTTCTGGTTATCTAGTGCCATTCTGACAAAAATATACCACAAATGGTATGGCCTTAACAAACAGGAGTTTATTCTCTCACAGTTTGGAGGCTTAAAGTCCAAGTTCAAAGTGCCAGGCTCTAGGGGCTGTGTGAAAGCCCCTCAACCTTGGGCTTCAGCTCTGCCTCTTGCTCCCAGCCCACTGAAGCTAGAGGCTTTTCTTCACTCAGGCAGCTACTGACTGCTGAGGCTAATAAGGCCAAGGTCGATAAATAAAATGGCACAGTTCTGATGTTACCAAACCACATGGCAGGCCATTCATTCAAGTCCATTGTAAGTCCCAAGGTTAGCAGAGCATGTAGGCTGCTGAACAGCGACACAGCTACATGCAGGGTCCAAGTGTACCATAGGCTAGAGACCATTCCCAAGGCTTCTCCTTATATACAGGAAGCAGACCACATCCCAAAGGCAGCTACTTGTGGTAGATTCCACCATGGAGTTGATTGCCAGTCTCATCATGGGGAATAACTACAACCAGCTGCCCAGCCATTCAACCAGGTCCAGCCAAGTTTACATACAAACATAAGTACCACAGACACTTATTAAATATGCAGTTCTCATAGTCATTTAACTGTAATTTAAAAAAATCCCATGTAGACTTTTCTACTTTTTATGTAAATGGACATGTGATATTTACATATCAGTTCAGTAGTTTATAATGCTAGGCACCCAATCGGAAATGGGTCTAAGAATTTATAGCTAGCAGAAATGACTAGATGTATGTAAAAATAACTATTATATGAAGTTAAAAGCTCTTATGATTCAGTGGAGGGTTAGTCACACAGGAGAATACACCTAGAAATACTGTTTTAATAGGTAATGATTTTCTTTCTAAATGTATTTATGATCAGCAGACTTCAGCATTTGCATAAGAAACATTCATATTGCATATAGCTAAGGAGCTCTGGGGGAGCTCTGGTAGCATAGTGCCTAAGGCATTTGACTGCTAACCAGAAGGCTGGTGGTTCAAACCCACCAGTCACTCCTTGGAAGGAAGATGGGGCAATCTACTTCTGTAGTGATACTGCCTCAGAAACCCAAGGAGGGATCGCTATGAGTCGGGTCCGACTTGATGACACATAACAACAACAACAAAGGAGCTCTGGTAGCATAGTACCTAAGGCACTTGACTGCTAACCAGAAGGCTGGCGGTTCAAACCCACCAGCCACTCCTCGGAAAGAAGGTTGGGCAATCTACTTCTGTAGTGATACTGCCTCAGCAACCCAAGGAGGGGTCGCTATGAGTCGGGGCTGACTCAATGGCGCATAGCAACAACAACAGCACTAGCTTATAGTGAGTGGCTTTTTTGGCAACAGATTTGTATTGGTTATTGATTTTATTTTATTAATTTTATTGCATCATGGAGAATGTTTATCTAGTAAATGAAGGGCAGTTTTCACCAATTAAATGTGAAAGATGCATAAAAAGACTGAGATCATGATCGTTTTCTTCCAAAGGTAAAAAAGCTGTAGTTACTTCATATAGTGCACATTGGACCACTTAGCGCTATATTAAGTGTGTGTCAAAAATCAGTATATGTCTTTGTAGTGTAGGGCAACGTGGACCTTTATTTTTCTTAAAAGGCATACATATCTCATGCAAAACTATAACATAAGATCTCATTTCAGGAGAGTATTCATTATAATTATATTTATTACATAGGCCAATATGTATAATTCTATATGTTACTCAGACACATTTTTGAATGTGTTCCAGAGGGGAGAAATTCAGATTTACTCTAGTCTAATTGATGAATGGAATTGCCATGAGGCAAGGAGAGGTTATATACCTAGTTAGAGGTAAAACTAGTTCTCAAATTTGATGTCCCATATCTATGAATCTTTTTATACTACCATATTACACTATCTTTAAAACAAGATAAAATGTGCCAGAAATAAAATCAAAAAAAAATTATTGGCTAATAGATAAATTGAAGGTATTTTACTAATGCTCTGTTTCGTTTAGATGAATAATGTGACAGCAGACTATTGTCTTGACATCATAAGGAAGTTTGAAGTTTCGGAAGAAAATAAGGTGAAAAATGTTCTTGGCATAGAAGGTAAAATACTAATACTCTTTAATTTCTCAACTCAGTTCACTAAATTAAGTCTTAACAACATTTTTATGAATAGAAATCTGGAGACATGTGGAATAACAGATAATTCAAAGATAAGTCTCACCATACAAGCATGTTTTCCTACAAAGAAGATGCTGTGATACTGCTTTCTCCTACTTTTGCAATAACAAGGAACATTTTTGTCTATAATGAGGTCATCTTGATACTGCTATATATGATGAATGCCGAGAAATATTTGAACTTTTCTCAAATGACTACTTTTTTGGAAATGACCTCAATCTGATAATTTCATGAAGGGAAATGCAGTTTTAAAATAAAGTAATCTAAGAAACTATCTTCATGAACATTGTTGGGTGTTGTTGAGTTGATTTTTGACACATAGCAACCACGAGTGACAGAGCAGAACTGCCTCTTAGTGTTTCCTAGGCTGTAATTTTTACAGAGGCGCTCTAGTTGTGCAGTGATTAAGCACTCAGCTGCCAACCGAAAGGTCTGTGGTTTGAATCCATAAGCTTCTCTGGAAGAAAGATGAGGCAGTCTGCTTCTATAAAGATTTACAGCCTTATAAGGCCTATGAGAGCAGTTCTGCTCTGTCCTATAGGGTCACTATAATGTGGAATCAATTCAATGGCAATGGATTGGGATTTTTTTCAATTAATCTTTACAGCAGTAGTTCACCAAGTCCATCTCCTGTGGAGCCACTCACTAAGTGAACTCAAACTGCCAACTTTCAGTTAGCAGATGAACACTTAACTGTTGCACCTCCAGGGCTCCTTGACTTCAAAGTAAATGTGTTTTTCTAAAAATTTCAGTAACTGACTTCTCATCGTTTATAGCATTTGAAATGTTAGAACACAAAGCTCATTTAGTACAACCGTGCCATTTTTAGTTGATAAAAATGAGGTGAAAAGAAATGAAATAATTTCCCTACAATCATACGGTCATAATCTAGCCATTGGGATCTTATACATAAATAATATGAATATAATTACATGTATTTGTAAGTTATATATATTTAAAATATATAGGGAAATAAATTGTAGGTTGCCACTTGAGGTGAGACTCTTCCCAGAAGAACTTGTCATCTTAATGAAGGACTACTAGGGAACCAACTTCCCAAAGAGCATCCAAAACCATTGCTTATCTTAACATTTGTAATTGCTGGCCTCCTGTTCTCCTATAGGGAGCTCTGGTGGCACAGTGCTTAAGCCATTTGACCGCTACCCAGAAAGCTGGTGGTTCAAATGCACCAGCCACTCCTTGGAAGGAAGGTTGGGCAATCTACTTCTGTAATGATACCACTTCGGAAACCTAAGGAGGGGTCGCTATAAGTCAGATCTGACTCAGCAGCAGTGGGTTTGAGTTTGTTCTCCTATAGGGAGCTCTGGGGGTACAGTGGTCAAGACATTCAGCTGCTAACCAAAAGGTCAGCATTTAGAACATACACATTTACTTTCTGGGGTGAGTGTAATTAAGATAAACAGGAATCATTAAAAATCTTGTATCATCAAAAGCCATTCTTAAAAACAACTAGAGAAGATAAACTCATTGGAGCCTTTTCTGTGCTAAGAAATGACACTTCTCTTTGGTGAGGCCCCAAAATAAAGCAATAAATATGGTTCCTAAATTATAAACAGGAGCTCTGGTAGCATAATGCCTAAGGCACTTGACTGCTAACCAGAAGGCTGGCGGTTCAAACCCACCAGCCACTCCTCAGAAGGAAGGTTGGGCAATCCTACTTCTGTAGTGATACTGCCTCAGAAACCCAAGGAGGGGTCGCTATGAGTTGGGCCAACTCGAGGGCACGTAACAACAACAACAAGAAGGAAGGTTGGGCAATCCTACTTCTGTAGTGATACTGCCTCAGAAACCCAAGGAGGGGTCGCTATGAGTTGGGCCAACTCGAGGGCACGTAACAACAACAACAACAAATTATAAACATAAAGTTGGGAAAGAAGAACTTCTCCAGAGACTCAGTGGATGTTTTCAAGTACAATCTTATCACAAAATTCTTGAAGACTTGAAACAATTTACCCTAATAATCATTCTGCTTAGGTACTTGTGGGTCAGGAGCTCTGGTAGCATAGTGCCTAAGGCACTTGACTGCTAACCAGAAGACCTGCTGCTCAAACCCACAAGCCACTCCTCAGAAGGAAGGTTGGGTAATCCTACTCCTGTGGTGATACTGCCTGGGAAACCCAAGGAGGGGTCGTTATGAGTTGGGCTGACTTGACTGCACATAACAGTAACAACAACACTTGTGGGTCATTCCTGTATTTATTCATATGTTAATGAAGGCCTTTTATCCTAGGCATTATGTTTTGAAAGACTGTAGGAAAAAATGACAGGGTTTTCAACATAATCTTTAAGCACCGATTCAAAGTTATAAAATGTTCTGGCCATTGTTGTTGTTGTTATGTGCCGTCGAGTCGGCCCCGACTCATAGTGACCCCTTCTTGGGTTTCCGAGGCAGTATCACTACGGAAGTAGGATTGCCCAACCTTCCTTCCGAGGAGTGGCTGGTGGATTTGAACCGCCAGCCATCTGGTTAGCAGGCAAGTGTCTTAGCCACTATGCTACCAGAGCTACCAGACCAATTTCATAGTCAAATAACCACAGCCTGCATTTAGGCTGTGCGTGATTCTTGACCTGACACCTCAACCATCACACTGGCAATACTGTTTTTTCAAATCAGTGTACTAACCTATCAAATAGCTGGTAGATCATTGTGCATTTAGTATAAATAAGGCTTTATTTATTTCTACTTATAAGGTCACACTGAATGATCAAAGCTTGAGTTCAGTAGCTACTGAATGATTTAGTTAGTTAGCTAATGAGTAGCTAATGAGTGCCATTTCCCTATTTGACCTGAAGCAAATCTGTATGTGCCTCAGTTTTTCCCCAAAGGCTATTCACTATCCTAAGGGTCAGTAAGATAATCACTTTGAAAGTGCTTTGACTTCTTTTGTCCCTCTTAGAGCCAATTAAGCACTTAAGCTTTGAAAGTTGTAGTACTTGACTGTTTCTCCAATTTTTCCAAAGGCTTCACGAACTTCATGCGTAGTCCTGCTTGTGACATATTTAACCCACTACACCAGGAAGTATATCAAGACATGGATCAGCCCCTCTGCAACTACTACATTGCTTCCTCTCACAATACATACCTGACTGGGGACCAGCTCCTCTCTCAGTCCAAAGTAGATATGTATGCTCGGGTGCTACAAGAGGGCTGTCGCTGTGTGGAAGGTACGTGCTCTGTGACTGAGCAGTCAGTCAAATCTAGTATAAGTAAGGGAGATCCTAGACTCCATTCATATACTACTCAGAGCTGTTTTCCTGCTTATGAACACTAAGTATCCAATATGGTTCTCTTTGACAACTGGGAGGTTATTGGTAACCTTTGATGTGTAGTTTCAGTAACATGTGAGTGGGAAGGTGACCTTAACTGCCGTGGGTTGGTGACTGTGTATTTCTTTACCTTAGTAGAAAGAATTAGTAGAAAAGAGGCACTTGATGAAAGAGTTGGGCAGTTTTGAGACATGGAAGAAGGGGAAATGAAGATGTAGGTTTGTTTTTAGAGTGGAGGAAGGCAAAGAGAAAAGAACTTTTTACCTTTTAATCCTTGTTGTCTCAGAGGATTAAGAAAGAGCCTTACCATCAAGTGTGAAGTAGATAGAAGTTGGTCAGGGGGCTGATGAAGATAAGCAAATGTTGGAAAAGCTGTCAAGGAATGGAAAATGTGCTGAGAAAATAAGCTGGAGCAGGCCAGATAATTATGGAAAACAACAAATCATCAGTTGTAATACAGATCTGCATGTTTAGATACCTGCAAACCACCCCCCACCCCACCCAGACACATCTGCTTAGATGTAAGAACAGTGAAGATAGACTGTAAAATTGATCTAAGGCTCTGGATTTCTAGGACATTGTAGTGGGTTGAATGGTGGCCCCCCACAAGACATGTCCATATCCAAATTCTTTGAACTTGTCAATGCTACCTCATTTAGAAAAGGGCTTTTGCAGATACAATTAAGCTAAGGATCTTGAAATAAGATCATCCTAGATTACCTGGATAGGTCTTAAATCTGTTAACAAACGTCCTTATAAGAGACAGAAGAGCTGAAGGACAAACACAGAGAAGTAGATGATGTGAAGCCTGAAAAGAGATTGGAGTGATACGGCCACAAGCCAAGGAATCCAACAAATGTCAACAGCCAACAGAAACTGAAGAAGCTATTTTCTTCTTGAGCCCCAGAGGGAGTGCAGCCCTGCCAGACTTTAGGCTTTTAGCCTCCAGAACTGCAAGATAGTAAATTCCTATTGTTTTCATAATTCTATTCCATCATTTGTTATAGCAGCCATAGGGAACTAAACAGTTACATTATGTATCTTTAAGATGTTGGTTTGGGCTCCTTTAAGTAATTGACAATGGATATGGTGTCTAGGAAAGGAAGTAAGGTGAATACTACTGTCAGAAAGTGAGGTTAAGAGACTAGAAGATTCAAGGAAGTGGAAGAATGGGGGAAGTTGTCATTGCATACACTCAGGGAGTTGCCATTGGTAGGTAGGATTTTAGATACAGTTACAAATGATGACAGTATCCAGTCTGTGTCCTGGAAGAACATGAGTAAAATAGATTTGAGAAGTCAAGAATAAGGGACTGAGTAGATTGTCCACATGGACATTTAACTCATAAAGGATGCTGGAGTTAGGCTGGAGATTTAAAACTATACACCACACACTTAAGTACAAAAAGAATGCTATTGAAAATGCACTTGGAAGATACAAGGAAGGTAGACTTGAATAAAGTGAGCCTCAGAGGAGGGGAGATTTTCTGAGTGTGGAAGAACAATTACAAGAGCCTAGGTAATGCCTTGTGGTTATTTTGGTTTTACAAATGAGCATCTGGAGAAAGGAAGTAGTGTCCTACAAGGTAAGCTGGTGATTAGTGCCAATAAGGAGGTTGAGGGAGAATTCCAAAAGGAGTCTGAAGATATAATGAAGTCTATTTTTGATGGATTGGGAATTCCATGTAGCATGGAGGAATTGTTTTTTGGTGGAGGTGTGTCAGCATTGGGATAACAGCTTGTCTTGGGGTAGTAGAGTAGGGTGAAGCAGTAGGGCAGTGAGATAAGATTGATAACTGCAGGGTGTTCTCTGTCAGATAGTTCTGGCTTGAAAAAGTTTCTCCTCCAAAAATGACAGTAATGTCATAAAGGTAAATGATCATTTTTAAACAATGGGCAGAAATAAAAACTATCTGTAATCAGAGCCACTAGAAACATTACAAAATGAGCTCTCTGGAATTAATGTTTGAAGACACACAGTATTTTTGTAGTAGATGTAGAGAATGCATACTAACAGTTATGACTGACAATTTAGTAGCTTTAAGCAAGTGAATAACAAACATACTTATAAAATATTAACTTTTCAAGCAACAAAAGATCTTGAGGTGAGAATCTTCGCTCAGTCATTATTCAGCTGTTTATTCATTTAGTACTCAGCACGTTTTACATGTCTAGCATGCATAGAGAGGCCCTGTGTACACAGCCTCATTGGATTCATACTGATGTCTGCAGTTATCATTTTAATTGGTGACATTTTTTGGAGCCAAGTATAGAAATTGACTTGTGACCCCAGAAGTGATAGTTAACACTAGAAAGTTTTGCTTGTTTGTTATTTCTGTCTCCCACACTTTATTTCTTCTGCTGCTCAGTTCCTTCAGATACTCTGTCTTCTCTTTTTTGTTTGCCTGCCCCAAAACAGGATCCTACTCAAATCTGACCAAGTTCCCATGACTAGCTCTTTTAACTGAATCAAACGTTCTAATTTACCAGCTTTGTTTAGGGTAATAAGAAGGAAAGCTCTTTGATTAAATATTTTTCAGTGAAGTACAAATGATCTTTAATCTTAATCGTTCTCAAGAGCTCTTTTAATTTTAAAATGAGAGCTTTTAGAAATTATCTAGAATAGGTGATGTAGAACATGGACTACATGATATTGAACACTGTGCCTTCTTTGTACAAAGGTCTGCAAGTCCCCAAAGTTACTTGACTCTCCATGTCTAGCAGGCTACCTGCTCCATCTTGATATAAGCTGAGAATATGCACAAAACCAAAACTCACTGCCATCAAGTCAATTCCAACTCATAGAGACCCCCATAGGGTTTCCAAGGCTGTAAATCTTTACAGAAGTAGATGTCTCATCTTCCTCCCATGGCACCTCTGATGGCTTTGAACTGCTGACTTTAAGGTTAAGAGCCAAATGCCTTATCCACTATGCCACCAGAGCTCCTTGAGAATATGCACAGGCATGGTGTAATTTTAAAGGACACACAATGTCTCACATGCTCTCAAATATTTCCCACACCAGCTTGCATTAGCAAATTCCTTCCTAATTTACCTCAAAGTTCCCACTATTAGAATGATCTATGACCAGATAGTGAAAGTTGAGCTACTATTTCTGAAAAGATTTTTTTTTGAAGAGAAAAATTGTTTTCTGGGAAATTAGTCAGCTTTTTATTTGTTCTATTGCCTGTTGGAAATTGCAGTTGTCACCTTAGCTTTGGACATAATGTGGAAAGGAACTATTATAATATCTGTTCCTTTTGTAGGCCAAGTCTGGGCTAAGTGCTTTCCATATATTATCTCATTTAATTTTTTTTTTTGTTTAGAAATTTCTTTTTGTTGTTGAGAATATACAGACGCCAATTCAACCATTTCTACATGTATGATTCAATGACATTGATTACATTCTTAAAGTTCCACAGCCATTCTCATCCTCCTTTTCTGAGTTGTTCCTTCTCCAATAACATAAACTCACTGCCCCTTAAGGTTCCTATCTAATATTTGAGCTGTTGCTGTTATTTTCATCACATATAGATAGTTCTTGAAAGAAGATAATGCTCAAGGCAGACATATTTTACCATTATTAGTTGTTCTTAGGTGCCATCTAGTCGACTGTGAACAAAACACTACCCTATTGTGTGCTATCCTCACAATCCTTGCTGTGCTTGAGCCCATCGTTGCAGCCACTGGGTCAATCTATGTCTTTACTTTACCAAGTTGAACTTCCACTTTGCCAAGCATGATATCCTTCTCCAAGGAATGGTCCCTGCTGACAACATGATCAAAGTAGGTGAGACGAAGTCTCTCACTTCCAGAGAGCATTCCAGCTGCACTTCTTCCAGGACAGATTTGTTAGGTTTTTTTTTTAGCAGTCTATGGTACTTTTAGGAGGTCTGGTAGTGTAGTGCCTAAGGCACTTGACTGCTAACCAGAGGGCTGTTGGTTCAAACCACCAGCCACTCCTTGGAAGGAAGGTTGGGCAATCTACTTCCGTAATAATACTGCCTCAGAAACCCAAGGAGGTGTCGCTGTTGAGTCAGGTCTGACTTGTCAGCACATAACAACAACAACAATATGGTACTTTCAGTATTCTTCACCAACACCACAAGTCATAATCATCAATTCTTCCTCAGTCTTCCTTATCCATCATAGCATACATATGTATATGAAAACCAAACCAAACTCACTACTGTTGAGTGGGTTCCAAGTCATAGCAACCCCTCTGTGGGTTTCTGAGGAGGTATCTCTATGGAAGTAGATTGTGCAGTCTTCCTTCCAAGGAGTGGCTTGTGGGTTTGAATTGCCATCCTCTTGGTAAGCAGTCAAATGCCTTAGGCACTATGCTACCAGGGCTCCTTCATATGAAGTGATTGAAAATATCACGGCTTGAGTTAGGTACACCTTAGTCTTCAAAGTCAGCTGCGTGGATCCAGTTGAGGAGAGAGAACCCAGACGTGCCCAAAGCAGCAGGGTGGGACAGTGGGAGAAAGGGGATTAAAAGGCTCAGGAACCGGGACAGAGGAGCAGTAAGCCGCAGTCACCCAGGTAAGGGTGGTACGACAGGTTTCCAACAGGGAGACAAACCTGTCTGTCAGTTTGTCCTACCATGGTGATGTGTTGATGTGAGTTTTAAGGCTGAGCCACTGGTGTTTCAAACCCAGTGGGATGCACATGGTGCACAGGTATCAGCCCAGCTTACAGACTGAGACAGACTAGGAAGAAGGAAGAGGCCATCCACTTCGCAAAGAATTGGCCAGGGAAAACCTTATGAATAGCAAAGAAACACTGTTTGATACATTAGCATGCAACTTTATGAATAGTCCAGTTAGGTTAGAAGGCTCTCAAAATAGGACTGGGAAAGAGTTGCATCATCTGAGTAAACTCAGCCTTACTCACATG